AGTAAAAAAGAAAAAAAAAAAAAAAAAAAAAAAAAAAAAAAAGAAACCAAACCAAACCAAAACAGCAACAAAAAATTCAGTTTCTCAGTCATACTAGTCACATTTCAAGTACTCAGCAGTCACATGTGGCTTAATGGTTATTGAATAGCACAGGTGTAAGTGAAGAGAATTAGAGGCAGAGGAAACAATGAACACAAAGTCTTTGAGGCAGGAATGCATTTTTTCAAAGAACAGTTAGTTAGCCAGTATGACTAGAGTACAAAGAGCAAGTGATAGGGAATGTGGCGAGTGAGGTTGCCAAGAGTCAGCTAATGAAGGGCCTTAGATGTCATAGTGAAGACTTTATTTTATTTATTTATTTATTTAAAAAGATGACCGGTAAGGGGATCTTAACCCTTGACTTGGTGTTGTCAGCACCACACTCACTCAGTGAGCTCACCGGCCATCCCTATATGGGATCCGAACCCGTGGCCTTGGTGTTATCAGCACCGCACTCTCCCGAGTGAGCCACAGGCAGTGCGCCACAGGCCGGCCCGAAGACTTTATTTTATGGGTGATGGAAAATATATTTTAAAATATTAAATCATCACTGACTGCTGTGTTGAAAAAATGCAAGTTTAAGAGTGAAGCAGGAAGGCTTTAGAGGCTGTTACAGTATTCCATATGAGAGATGATGGTTCTTGAATTAGGGAGGTAACTGAGATAATGAGAAGTGTTGTGATTCAGGATATATTTTGAAAGTTTGGTTTATTGTTCTTTTCAATGGACTAGACCTTGGGTATGAGAAAGAAAAACTTCATTCAGTAAGTTGAAGATGACAAAGAGAAAAGCAGGTTTGAAAGAAAACTAATAGTTTAGTTTTGACCATTTGAAGTTTCAGATGACCATTGCTATCAAGTAACTGCAATATTAGAGCAAAATGACAGTTCTGATATTTCAATTTAATATATTACTACCTTAGTGAGTTGCAGTAAGAGAATGATAAAAACACATACATCACAGAGACAATAATTAATATAAAAATGGATTGTGAAGTATATGTACCTTATATTTCAGATAAAAGGTAAATATATTCCACATCCTGGAATAAGAGACCTACTGATAAACTGTTGAAGATCTTACATTTCTATTACATTACTTAGTGAACAACCTATTTCATTAGTGTTTTCATATTGCAGTAGTTTCAAACAATTTGAAGAGCATGCAAAAATGCATCCTAGTACTTTTTCACATTACATTTTTTCCCATGGCCACTGCTTTGTATCTAAATATACTTCACACTTTTTTTTTTTCTGTGACTGGCCAGTATGGGGACCCGAACCCTTGACCTTGGTGTTATAACACCATGCTCTAACCAACTGAGCTAACCGCCCAGCCCTCACACTTTTTTTACGTTAATATTTTTAAACTTTTATTTTATTCTAAAATCTTGGGTAAGGTTATTACCAAATCTTAATGATGTTAACAACTACCATTTAAGGAGCAAGGGCACTTTGCTAAGTGTTTTCATAAATAATCTCATTTGAACTTCACAACAATCCACTTAGATATTGCAGAAAAGAGGCTAGTAGAAAGAGACTATGGGATGTAAATCATAGCTAAGATGAAAAATAAAACATAATAGTTATTCTGTATTAGTTTGTTTTCTGTTGCTTATCACAGAATACCTGAAATTGGGTCATTTATAAAGAAAATAAAATTTGTTTCTTACACTTTTGGAGGCTGAGAAATCGAAGGTCAAAGGGTACATCTGGGGCCGGCTCGTGGCTCACTCGGGAGAGTGCGGTGCTGATAACACCAAGGCCCCGGGTTCGGATCCCATATAGGGATGGCCGGTTAGTTCACTGGGTGAGCGTGGTGCTGACAACACCAAGTCAAGGGTTAAGATCCCCCTACCGGTCATCTTAAAAAAAAAAAAAAAAAAAAAAAAGGGTACATCTGGTGGGGGCCTTCTTCTGGGTGGGGACTCTGCAGAGTCCCAAGGTAGGGCACAGTATCACATGGCAAGAGGTCTAAGAGCATTCTAAGGTGCTCACTTGCTCTCCTTATAAAGACACCAGTGTCACTTCTGTGATTACCCATTTATCTATTGAGAGCAAAGCCCTCACATCCAATCACCTTCGAAAGGCCCCACCTCTCAATACTGCACATTGGGATTAAGTTTTAATATGAGTTTTGGGGAAACAGCCAAACTATAGCATATGCTTTTAGAAAAAACGGTGTTAAAATATTAAGTAACTAATTTGCAACAGCATTTAGGCTTACTACCAGCAACTTTTCTAAACTTAAACCTAACAAGGAAAATAACATTGCCATAGGAGGCGGGGTAATGAACAGAATCGGGGCTTGAGTCCCGACTGTACTTCTCACTAGCTGATTGTGATCGTCTTTGGATAAGGCATCTATTTTCTTTTTTTCTTCCTTTCTTTAAAACTTAAACTTCAGTGTCTTCAACTGAAAGTGGAGGGGAAGCGAAAACAAATATCACCTATTCTACCTACCTCACAGGGTTGTTGGGAGAATCAAAATGCATATAAAAGTGATTTGTAAATGGCATATTTTACTTAAGTTTCAGGAGTGTGAAGGTTTGAAATAATTCTTGGAATTTCTTTTTCAGAAATATTTCTAATTTTTACCTGGTTTAAAAATAACTTTAGGGCCGAGCCCTGGTGCACTTGGGAGAGTGCAGTGCTGGGAGCGCAGCAGCGCTCCGGCCGCAGGTTCGGATCCTATATAGGGATGACCGGTTCGCTCACAGCGCTCACTGGCTGAGCGCGGTGCGGCTGGTCTCAAAAAGGACAAAAAATAAATAAATAAATAAATAACTTTAGTAATTAACGGAGGTATTTGTTTAGTTTGTATTCTATCGCTTTCCATAATACACACTAGATAATCAGTAACTACTTGTTGATTTCCAATTAGCTTTTCAGAAATCTATTATTTTGTGTACTATTACTAGTTTTCTGCACTGCATACCACTGGCTCTCAATAAATGCCACATTCCTAGCATTTTTGTATTAAGAAGATTTACGGTGCAAATGAACTGATAGAACTGCAGTTTATAAGGTTTTCAGAAGACAACCCACCTGCTTCACATTTTGAAATAGAATCAGATTCAAAAGGGTATGATGTTTTTTCTCTGCTTACCTCTCAGCCTCATCTCTAGTATCTTTTCAATAAATATTTCTTGATCGAATAATGATAGTGGCCTGGAGTTCTAGTCAGAAGATAATGCTCTTCCAACTACTTGGCTTGACTTCTGATATTCCATTAGCATTGTACGCTCCCAATTGATAAGATTCTCACTCTGTGGAGGTGACCGTTCTTTGACCCAGGCTTGCAGGTGGGAGCCCATTTGTCTAAAAAATCTGAGTCCTCAGCCTGCAGAACTACTGCCAACATCGCGTGGAGCGAAAAGGCGTGAATTCGTATGATTGATTCAAGAGTGACTGCTATGCCCTCTAGGCGGTGAGCTGGAAAGGGGACCTTCAGGCGCCACCGGGATTCCAGTAAAGGCGCATTATTTACCTCCTCCCGGCCTTGGGCAGCGCTCTCCACAAGCTACTTGCATCAGCGCGCCAAGCCGTTAGTCCCTCCCCATTTCTCACGGCTCCACCCATATGGCGCGCCCACAATTACTAAATCGTAGCCGCCAGGGTGCGCGACGCATTCCTGAGCCCCGCCTCCGGGGTGTAGGCGCGCTCCCCCTCCCAGCTCGGCCTAAGTAGTTCCGTTAGCAGCGTGAGGAAAAACCGTCCTTCGGCTCCCCGCCTCTCCAGACCTAACGCTTTACTCCCTACTCCCCCTGCGACCACTACACAGCCGGCTACGGAGGCCCCTAAAGTACAAATATCCAACAGGCTCTGTCGTATCCTGATAGGATTTATCCTTTCTTACTCCATCCGGTCCTAAGGGCTGTGTTCAGTTTTTGTCAGGAATTCGGACTCGCGAGTTTCTTACGGCTTCAGGAATTTCAGCCCTCTTCACGGAAGTTAAGAGCGTGTTGGGGTTTTTTTTGCCGCTGTCTCCGTCCGCATTCCTTCCCTCCCACCTCGCGGAATTGTGGTGGGAGGGGGAGGAGGAACTCAGGGCGCCTGCGCGGAGAGGCCGCTTTCCATCCGGGTCCCTGTCCGTGCGGTGCAGCAGGTCGGTAGGCGGGAAATGGCGACTGGCTGAAGGAGCTGGTTCTGTTGCTGCTGCGGGCTAAGAGGGAAAGACACCACACGTTGCGCAGTCAGGACCATCGCCGGAGCCTGAGGACACTTCTCTGTCGTCACAGTTAGGTAATCCCCTTCGTCCAGACGCTGCCGCCGCTCCCTACCTTAGACCTCCTCCTCTTCCAGGGCCGTCTGCCGGGATCTCCTCCCCTTCCCAACCCGGTCCTCCAGCGACTCTGGCGCCTTGGTAGGCATATACTATTGGCGCCTTGTACGTCCACTGTGTGGATCCGCTCTTCTCTGTACTTTCCCCTGGGAACGGAAAGGGAGCTCACTTCCCGCCAGCTTCAGTTCTTAGGCTGCGGCCTGTGTTGTGATTTCTGGGGTTAGATTTCGCTTTGCTACCCACCCCCACCCCGATCTCCCGTTCATAGTCCCCAGTCCTGTTGTCCCTCTGGATAGTTAAGTTAGGTCAGCTTTTCTAACCACCTTGGCCCAATACTGATGTTTTCGGTATTTCACTCTTTCTAGCAGGGTGCTTTTAGGGGGGCGTTGCTCTATCTCAGTTCTTATAAACACCTTTTGAGAATGTGGAAGAAGAGATTTCACTAAGTTCTGTTTATCTCCTGTACTGTTAAAATGTTATGTTAACATTGTTACTTTTTCAAATCGAGAGTGGTAGTAAAAACTAGCCCATGTGGAAGGCCCCTGGTTTCTTAGTGGTCAGTTAAGGTCGAATCTTGTTATCCTTGATATTCTTTGCTTTCTTTAGGTATTGAATACCTGTGTGAGTGCTTTCATTTGCATTCTTGACCAGAATTTTGTGTTAAATAAGTGCATATATAAATCGTGTTTATTTACTTCTCACCCTAGTGGTGGCTGGATGAGTGGATGAGGTTAAGCACTTTAAAGCACCTTAGGGAAGCCTAAGACATACTGCTCGTAAACTTTCCTAAGATCCTGAAATGAAATGTACTTAGTAGATGTTCTTCCAAGGCAGGGATTTATCTTTCTCATGCTAGTAAAGCAATACCAAGATTGCTGCCGTACGTAGGTATACAAATTAGAGACTTGATAGATTTATCTGCGTAATTTTCAGATTGCAGATTGCTTTATATTACATCTCCTCATTCTTTATCAAGTTTTAAATTTTCGTTTGTGGTCCAGCTGTTATAAAAGCAGGGAGATGGCAAGTTAGAGCTAGTGTTACTCCTCCTTTTTTTCTTGTTTTTCTTTCTTTTTCGACATTGCAGACCAATTGTCCATAAAGAGAATTAATAAGGAGGTTGTTGGTATTTTTCAGAATTTGTTTTTCTATTGTGTTGAATTTGGGGCCTTTGTATTTTTTTCCCCACTAATCAAATTAAGATTTTTAAAAAATGGTTCATATTACATATCAGTTGATATTTGTAACTCAAAAGTGTTCAGCTCTGTAAGTCCAGTTTAGAGAACTTCACTGTTGTTAGCATGATATTAGGATTAAATTTCAGAAATAAACAGGAACACATAAACATCATTATAGTCCTCATTTGGTAACCTTTGGCCAAGGTCATAAGGAAAGTCAAGGCAAAGTGTAGCTCTTATATGAAGCAATCTTTTAGGATTGGGTTGAACTTCCTATTTCTTTTCCAGGACCAATAGAATAGGAGGTTGGAAGTGGAGGTGTGAAGCATGTTGGAGATTTGCTATGTCAATTTATTTTTAAAAATGGGACCAAATATATGATTTGAAGGGATTGAAAGTAAATTATTGGCCTAGCGTCGGCTTTGTCTGTATTTTTATGACCTTTTTGAGTAGTTTATAAAACATTAATGCTTTTAATAAAATCTGGTTTACAGGGAGGTGAGTGAGTATTGATGACCCTGTCTTCAAGAATTCTCCCAAGTTGTTTAGTACTGCATTCATTCAGTACCTGAGCACTTTTAATACTATTCTTAGTTTAGGTTGAAAGGATGTGAAAGCTGTAAGAGTTGTAGTCCTTAGCCTTTGTGAACTTGTAGCTATATAGAGATGCTGAATAGGATTGCATAGGAAATCCAAATAGGATTGGTTCGTTTTACAGTATTTCATTCTACATAATGTCTCTTGGGTGTTTTATTTGAACTAGTAATGTTATTCTTTTTTCACTGTTAAGAAATTAAAAATTGTGGGCTGGTCAGTTAATTCCCTTGGTTAGAGCGTGGTGCTGATGGCCAAGAGTTCAGATCCCCTTACTGGCCAGCCACAAAAAAAAAATTAAGAATTGGGAAGGTTTTATCTTTCCTGAATTCATCTAGCTGATTCCAAGTTTGTGATTTCTGGTCAAGTAGTTTTTTCACGAGGTTATTATATAACAGAATCCATCTAATTCTGGTTAAGGAAACTTGGACCTGTTCTTCAGAAAGGCTGTACTAGACTCTAGACTCATAACTATAGCATTAATTGCCAATTGAGTATTAAATCTAATGGTATTTAATTATATCAGTCATATGAGACTATGCTTTGGCTTAATGAGATAAAGATTAAGTGGTTTACCAGGATTCGAAAAAAGAAATTTCTGATTGTATTTGTAATTTACCAAGTTGTGAAAGCATGAGGTAAAAAAGACACTTTAAGTCATAAATATCAAATGTGCTGAGAAGACCTCATGTATGGTGTGCTCTGAGTAATTTTTCTGGGTAGGTTAAAAAGTTACTTTACCATTTTAACTGGAGTGGCCACAGGAGGTCATTTGCTTTACTTAGAGGATGAGGAGATTTAACAGATGTGGAACTTACGTTAAAATTGTACCAAGTGCAGCTTTAGTTTCCACTTGACATTTGCCATGAGGCATCTATCTAAGCCAGACATACTTGTATATTCACTAGCAGTTGTATGACTACATAAATTTTAAATTTAAACTGTATTACATTGTAATCGGACCTATATTACAAAAAGGTAGCCCTAGGAGGTCGACTGTGTGGTATAATTTGAGAATTACCAATGTCTAACTTTATTTGTATCTCTCCAGTGTCTTATGGAATTTTTGCTAAAACACCCTTTTTAAAATCATAAATTCTCTGGAAGAGAAAATTTAAACTATTGTCTTTTATTGACAATATTAGTACAGATTAGTTTTATCAAGTAAACTTGCTGGTAGTACACACAAGTGAGGGTTCAGAGACAATGGAACATGGGAGAGTTAAGTTTTTAATGCACTTTCTGTGATTAGGAGAGGTGTAGAAAAAAGTCTAGGGAAGACAGGCAGTAGAATCATAGTGAGAAGCTTGGTCCTCTCGGGGTCCTTTGGGAATCTTGTAAATATGGTAATAAGGAATGGTGAGATTAAGTGTGGCCCCAACAAGAAAATGGTAAGACCTTAAGGACAAATGTAATTTTAATAAAGGTCACAATAGGCCCTTTGACTATATTAGAGACCCCATGTTATATGGTATTGATAGGCTCCTGTATTAGAGAGATTGGAGAAAATATGAATCATCAGCAATGCTTTGACTTGGGGTTCTAGCAATCAGGCTTGCATAATAGCTATGATAATTTTGGGGAAAAGGAAATGTGTTTACTGCTCTCCTTAAACAAAACAGTTTACTAGTAGAAGGCACTTAAATACTTCAGAAATAATTGGATTAAAATTTAATAATAGCAGTTTGTATAGTTCAGGAAGAATATTTTCTTCCTTTGGACAAAAACATTGAGAAATTTTCTTGGGAACTAAAAAGGCAGAGAAGTTGTTAAAAATAAATAATAAGATTAGGACCCTGTTAGCAGAATAACCTGATATTTTAAGTTTCTCTTGTTTACCTGTTAAAGTAATCTTTAAGTCAGAATTTAAAAGTATGTTTTATTAAAAGAAGAATGTATTATTTGTTAAAGAAGAATATGCAGGAAACATAAACATCTTTTTAGTTGAGAGAAAACTGTGATTACATGCTTTAGTAATAATTGCTTTCATCCTGGTATTCCACAAATATGTATGATTATCCTGTTGAGTTGAGAATGATTAGCCTCTCACTGACCTTACAAGTACATGATTTGGGTATATTTTGTTAAATAAGGTAATCATATAAAAACTCTTCATAAACCTTGTCTTCTTCTGTCTGCCATAGTTTATCTCAGTCATAACAATTAGTTCTTCCTTGATAGGAAGTGGTAAGATAATAAATTATATCAGATATTCAGTGCAAATTTATTTGGGGCAAAGTCATGATGTTTTACTTCATGGCTTTAAAGATTTTTAGTTGGGCCGGCCCATGGCTCATTCGGGAGAGTGTGGTGCTGATAACACCAAGGCTATGGATTCGGATCCAATATAGGGATGACCGGCTAGTTCACTGGGTGAGCATGGTGCTGACAACACCAAGTCAGGGATTAAGATCCCCGTACCAGTCATCTTTTGAGAAAAAAAAAAAAAAGATTTTTAGTTGATAACTATTTTTGTTCTTTGTCCACATCTGATTGATTCTTTTTTTTTTTTTTTTTTTTTTTTTACTATCATTTTAATGTATTCTGAGGGTTTCAGATTTCTACTGGCCTGAGAGTAATGTAAAATTATTTTACTTTATTTATTTATTTTTATTGATAATGAATATTCATGAGATACAAAGCTGATTGTCACCACTCCTGCCCAAGATGTGATGGCCAGATCCGTATGGGCAGCATGTCCATTACCACAAATTGCAGTTATGCCCTGTGTCCCCCACTCAATTATCCCCGATCTCCCTTCCCATTCCCCCTCTCCCCCACTCCACTTTTTATCCCTAGGTATGCTCTCTCCCTCTACAAGTCCAGCACACCATTGTTTTACTTTAAATAGAAGTTTTTATCAAGAGCATTTAAATAACTAGTTACATCTCTCCACTTGCCCAGTTTTGGTGAGAACTACTTAAGTAAAAAGCACTCTTGGGAAAATTCTGCCAAAATTAAGTTTACCTTTTTTAATCTTTAGAATTTCTATGTTGAAGTATCCAATAAGTACATTGAAACTTGTATGTATATAGGTCAGCCCACTAAATTAAAAAAAAATATGTTGATATGTTCTGTCGGAAGGATAGTAATATAGTGAGAAATAATAGCTTGGGAGTTTCAAGTGTCCCATGATCTTTTTGAGAAAAAGAATGAACCCAATGAATGATGGTACTTAGTTCTTATGG